AATAATTTAAGTAAATGAAATAAGAGATGTGTTTAAAGATTTACATACAAAGATATTTTTCCAGATTTTATAATAACAAAATTTTGAAACAACCTAAATATGTAACAGTAGGGAAATAGATGAAATAAATGATGAGAAAGCCGTGAGAATTTCAGTGGAACACTTAATAAAATGAAGACATGTGTTATATAAGTGCAAACAGTTATAAAACTGCAATACATGAGGATTTCCATTTTGGTTTAAATAAATATAAACAATTATAATTACATATATGACTAAAAGAGTATACCAAAAATATTAACAGTATGGTAAGCTTATTTTCATGTAGTTATTTCATGCAGTTATTTTCATGTAATTGTTATATAATTGGGTAAAACTAATAAATATTAACTTTTCTTTTTTTGGAGACAGGGTTGCTGTCTGTTGCCCAGACTAGAGTACCTTGGTGTGAACTTAGCCCACTGCAACCTTGGCTTGCCAAGTTCAAGCAATCCCTCTCACCTCAACTTCCTGAGTAGCTGGGACTACAGGCATGTACCACCATACCCAGCTAATTTTTTTTTTTCCTTTTTGCAAATATGAGGTTTCACTATACTTCCCAGGCTGGTCTCAAATTCCTAGGCTCAAGTAATCTGCCCACCTTGGGCTCCCAAAGTGCTGAGATTACAGGCATGAGCCACTGTACCCAACGTTATATTAACTTTATTAAAAAACAAGATTCTGTGACTATACTGAATAGAATTGTGGTGAATATTTGATCGTTGCTAAAGCCATGAACTCTCTTATCACTCAGCAAAACATGACTGATACATTAACCACAGTTTAGGATCACATTCCAAGTTTCACCTGTTCACAAAGCTTCCTCAAGTTTATACCAGTCTCTGCCCCTCTAGAATTCCAGAATTTCGGCAGTGATTAAGAGAACATTCATCATTTATTGCTGAAACAATGTCCTAACATTTTCATGTATTAAAGCTTGCCTCAAAGAGAAGGTTAAGTCTCTTATAACCCTATACCATACTACCTAGACCTTGAACCCTAAGTGCAGTATTAGGTGCTTTATGAGAAGACTTCACACTTAACTGAATTAAATCTAGAATGGCCAACTAAAACTCTGAACCTAGATAAAATACACATTACTGAAATAGTTCCCTTTAGATATTTTATACATTCCTTTAAATTCTAAACCAATATTAACTCCAGTCTTAACAATTGGTGGCTGGTTTCAGGAATACAGGAATAAAGATTTCCAGTAAAACATGGGCAGGTAAGAAGCAACACTCAAAAACAACCTTAAAAATTAGAGAAATGCCCGCGTTCACCAAAGCATTATTCACAATAACCAAGATACAGTAACAACCTAAGTATCTATCAAGAAATCAAAGTGTAAAGAAATTATGGCTTACACACACAGACACATACAACGGAATGTTATTTAGCCTTAAAGAAGAAGGAAATCCTGTCATTTGCAACAAGATGGATGAACTTGGAGAATATCATGTTAAGTGAAATAGGCCAGACACAGAAAGAAAATTACTGCATGATCTCACTTATATATGGAGTCTAAAAAGGCTGAATTCATAGAAGCAGAGCATAGACAGAATGGTCGTGGTAGTGGGGGCTGAGGGAGAGCAATGGCGAGATGTTGGTTAAAGGGTATACAGTTTTACCTATGCAGGATAAATAAGATCTAGATATCTAATGTATACCAGGAAGCTATAGTTAATAATATCATACTGTATACTTGAAATTTGCTTAAAGTTTAAACCTGAAATGTTCTCTCTCTCCAACGCAAAGTTAAAAAGAAGAATTACTGAATGCTTACTGTGTATCAGATACAGGAAATAAATTTATGCATAAAAAACTAAGAAAAATCCATTAATTTCTCATGAAAATGAAATGGTACTTTGTAATTCCAGAGGCAAACATAACAGAAGAAACACAGTGAGAAAAAAAGGGAAATTCCTAAGGTCAGTCAAGGAATCAGATAAATATGCTTGAGCAACATCAACCAGGAGCATGGGCTAAACAGGAGGAACAACTCAGGAGGCCTCTGCAATAGTTGAGCTATGGCTGACAACCCAAGTGGGCCACTGTGAAAAGGGAATGGCCAGAAGAGGGTGTTAAGATTATTAATAATCAGAAACTTTGATGAGAATATTATTAAGCTAAGAAAAGGAATGTGGTAGCTGGATATTCTATCCTCACAGAAGGTAAAAAATAAATTCCCCTCAGTGGGAATTTTAAATTAACCCTGGAGTCTCTTACTTACACATAAAGAGAATATCCCAGTAGGCAGTCTTGTGAACTACTGTAGTAGCGACTATGCAAAGATCAACTTTGGAAGGGCTGAGAAGCAACTGTGATATGTGGCAAATCTAAGATAGGTAGGTTTGGGGAAGGAATTGGTGCCAGTATTACCTCAGGGTCCCTTCCATCCTCATAATTCAATGAATTTTTTTTTTTTTTAGATGGAGTCTCACTCTGTAGCTCAGGCTGGAGTGCAGTGGCAAGATCTCGGCTCACTGCAACCTCCACCTCCTGGGTCCTAGTTCAAGCAATTCTTCTACCTCAGCCTCCCAAGTAGCTGGAATTACAGGCACAAGCCACCATGCCCAGATAATTTTTGT